GAGAGATAGAGAGGAAATACAGAGGAGAGATAGAGAGAGGACATAGAGAAGAGGGGAGGGACAGAAGAGGAAAGGAAGAAGGAAATATATATAGAGAGAGAGCAGGGAGAAAGGGGAGGAGATATATATAGAGAGAGGGGATAAGAAGGTCTCTATAATGGTTTCTCTCCCTACAGGTGATGAAGACGAGTTTGTGAACCCGGAGGCGCTCATACAATATATCACAGAACACGGATCCCCGGATACAGTTCACGGCTATCACTGGCACAGGCCTCCCGTCATGCGCAACACCAAATACAGCATCACAAAGACACTGTACCCCCAGACACATTATCCGGGCTTTGTATCCGGCGGCGGTTTCCTGTTCCCAGGGGCCTCTGTGAAAAGCCTGTACGCAGCCTCACAGCTCCTCCCTGTTTTCCCATTGGACGATGTATATTTTGGGTTCCTTGTCCTGGCAGCCAATCTGACCTACCATCACGACGCGCGCTTTTACGTGAAAGGATTAAAGTACGACGTGTGTAAGTACAAGGAGGCTCTGGTGGTCCACGGTATTGATTCGGAGATCATGGTGCGGATGTGGCGGGAGGTGGAGAACAGCGAGTGCAAGAAGGACCAAACAACGCCAAGCTGACAGGAATGTGCGCGATCACGCCTCAATCCAAAAAGAATACTCCCAATCAGGGAACACACCCAGGTGACGGCACGTCGGAGCGTCCACCACCAATGTTACGTGTTTTATGTACAGGTCATTCGTGGAAAGTGGAGCGCCCGCTCTGTGATGTCATTGGGCAGCAACACACCATTAGTGATGACATCTGTTAAAGAGGAACTCCACTAAGCACAATTTGCATCTCATCTGAGTACATGAACTAGCCCCAATGTCATCTGAGGACAGGAGCTAGCCCCAATGTCATCTGAGGACAGGAGCTAGCCCCAATGTCATCTGAGGACAGGAGCTAGCCCCAATGTCATCTGAGGACAGGAGCTAGCCCCAATGTCATCTGAGGACAGGAGCTAGCCCCAATGTCATCTGAGGACAGGAGCTAGCCCCAATGTCATCTGAGGACAGGAGCTAGCCCCAATGTCATCTGAGGACAGGAGCTAGCCCCAATGTCATCTGAGGACAGGAGCTGGCCCCAATGTCATCTGAGTACACGAGCTAGCCCCAATGTCATCTGAGGACACGAGCTAGCCCCAATGTCATCTGAGGACAGGCGCTAGCCCTAATGTCATCTGAGGACAGGAGCTAGCCCCAATGTCATCTGAGGACACGAGCTAGCCCCAATGTCATCTGAGGACACAAACTAGTCCCAATGTGACCTGAGGACAGGAGCTAGCCCCAATGTCATCTGAGGACAGAAGCTAGCCGTAATGTCATCTGAGGACAGGAGCTGGCCCCAATGTCATCTGAGGACAGGAGCTAGCCCCAATGTCATCTGAGGACACAAACTAGTCCCAATGTGACCTGAGGACAGGAGCTAGCCCCAATGTCATCTGAGGACAGGAGCTAGCCCCAATGTCATCTGAGGACAGGAGCTGGCCCCAATGTCATCTGAGGACACGAGCTAGCCCCAATGTCATCTGAGGACACAAACTAGTCCCAATGTGACCTGAGGACAGGAGCTAGCCCCAATGTCATCTGAGGACAGGAGCTAGCCCCAATGTCATCTGAGGACACGAGCTAGCCCCAATGTCATCTGAGGACATGAACTAGCCCCAATGTCATCTGAGGACATGAGCTAGCCCCAATGTCATCTGAGGACATGAGCTAGCCCCAATGTCATCTGAGGACCTGACTGGTAGGCTTGCAAAAAGAGAGGAACAATGAAGTGCAATTACTGTGTGGCACTGCAGGAAGCAGGACCTGCATAGGTAATGAGAGCACCGGGCTCCCTCTCTGTACATATATCCCATTATTACAAGTCACCAAACACAATGTTTTTAAATCTGAATTTGAATCTGTTTATATTTTGGCTTCCCAGGTTCCTCACCCCCCCCCCCCCCCCCC